TTAAACCCTCTTACGCATTAAGCAAGGTGAAAAACGAAAACGATGCCATCCAAAAACGAATTACCGAATTTTGACAAGCGACGCATTTCTCAACCAAAAACCCAGTAAACAAACCAGCCATGAATAACAGAAGACTCTTGATAGCAACTGTATTTCCTTTTGTACGTCCAGAGGAAAAAGACAGTTAAAAACATCAAAAGTTGACGGTCAGGTGATACTGGTCAGCAGATGCCCTGTTTTGACAGCTGTCAGTTGATCACAACATTGATGTGCAGTTAGTTTTCTCTTGGGCTCCCAAGCTAGCTTAAAGTGTGAGAGTAAACATTGGTTTTCCTGTGGTGCGGACGGACGGTCACGTGATTACCAAATTTTCTGGGATGGGTAGATTTACTTAGCTATGGGGCTCCGCCCACGCGCGCGCGTGGAGCTCCGCTACTAACAAGAAGTCTTCTTATGAGTTTTATTTAGCCTTGGAGTTAAATGCTACAGCCCCGGGGGGCATAAGGTGCGTCTGTTAAAAAAATTAAACAAGGGCCCTTTGAAACACAGTGGAACTTCTATTCTCTCAGGACCGACGTAAGTGACCCTTGAATAGAGGTGTCCACTGAATAGAGGTTGGGCTGGGGTTTATTAATAATTAACCAACAAAGACAGCATAAAAATGATCATCAGTAATTTATCTCTGTAACATCATAGGTTGAATTCACACAAGTTCAGTACATCGGGTTATCTGAGATAGTTCAGTTTGTGAAACTTCCATAATTGTGATTAGTGTACACTTAAATATATCGACCTTTTTTGTGATCAGTCACTTTTTGAGTGCTAAGGTGTCCCCTGAATAGAGGTTAAACCCAAAATTTCCGGACCTAGAAAATGTCTCCCTTTCCGCTGAATAGAGGTGTCCCTTCAATAGAGGTAATAGAGACAAAGATTATGTGGGTGTTTTTCCGCGACCTAATTTTCGTCCCTAGAATGGAGGTGTCCCGTGAGTAGAGGTGTCCCAAAGGCCCGGGGAGGGAGGTTACTGCCTTAGATGGCCTATACGAGGATGTGCTGATGAACAGAGTATGGTCTTCATCCTCTCTGTCCTAAACAGGGTATATAATTTCGCAAAAGTCTATCCTAAACAGTGTACATGTCCTTTGTCGTAAACCGGTTAATAAATTAGAGGGTTTTGTCCTGAACAGGGTATGTATTTTGGGACTTTTTTATGTCCAAACTGGTTCAGGGTTTCAAATCCTCAGCGGCTCACCTATACTAAAATATTGGTCGAATATTCTCTTGGGCCCGGTTAGCTCAATGGGATAAGCGTCTGCTGAGCGGGAGGCTGTAGGTTTAAACCCCTGCCCGACCAACACTTAGGGTCTTTAAATAAATGAGGAGATAGTGCTGCCTTTGTAATAACATCTGCAAACGGTTTGACTTTCAAGTCTTCTCGGATAAGGACGATAAACCGTAGGCCCCGTCTCACAAGCCCTTGCACATATAATAAAAAATCTGTGGGCCGTTAAAGAATCCTCACACTCTTCGTAAAGAGTAGTGCACGTAGTGCTCGGTGTAGTGGTTTATCTCACTTTCACACTCGTGTACGCGGGCATCCTTACTCATTCCTTTATTACTTGTAAACTACACCTTAAACAGTCTGGCAAAGTCCCCCAACCAGTGTTGTAAATTATGCCTGAAAAGCCCCGAGGGGAGTGGATAATAAGATATTTACATATTTTACATATTTAGGAGAGGTTCCACTGTCAATGATAAATTCGCCTATTGAATCTTTTGTGCTGACTGTAACTTTAAAAATTGCTACTCTTTCATATACTTAAAACCTGAAAAAGGCACCCCCTTTCGTGCTGAACCTCACCTTATAACAGGGAGCCGTTTTGTCGCCTCTTGGTAGAGTTCATGATAACGAGTGCCCCCACCCGCTTCTCCCCCCCCCCCCCTACCCATTTGAGGTACAGAAAATGACTAAAGAAAAGGAAGGATTCTATGTGTCAAATTTTGGACCTGACGATACTGAGACTGGCACGGCAACAAGAACGTCAAACATTCAAGGGGTTTAGTAAGCAAACCAATTCTCTCTGCACCAAGAGAGGATAAAGGGGACAGAGAGGGCATCCCCTATACAAACCCTATTCCATAGGTAATTCGTCTCGAGTTATTTTTAGAATCGGGATAAAGTTACCTCGCGCGCTGCGTGGATGTTTCGTGGAGGTTTCGCATGACTAAACGACGAGCAAAACATGTCGGGCGAAAGGCAATGAAAGCTTAAAGAGATCGAGAGCATTTCTGAATATTTAAGCGAAATGAGTCGGCGCTCACCTGGGAAAAGGGAATCGCTGGACTCTTTGACAACCCGTGAAATCAGTTTAACTCGAAGTTGTCGTAACCTCAGTGCTTTAATAAAATGAGAAATTTCGCCGGTCTATTGAAACCGGTCGTTTGTACAATAAAGCAAGTAGGATGCCATTTCGCTGACACCGCTTTAGTAGAAATCTCTCTTTAGTCGTTTTTGTGGACAAAACGAATAGCAATATCGCTCTCCGCGTCTTCTACCATTTTTTCAGCGTCAATTCGTTAAGGACGAGTGGCTCTGAGCGTGGGTCATCCACGCGGAACGCATTCGCGCTATGTGATTGGCTGATGTCTAATCCCCCTTGGGATCTGTGGTCTTAAAAATAACTCGAGACGAATTACTTATGGAATAGGGTGTGTATGGGGGATGCCTTCTCTGTCCCCTTTACCCTCTCTTGCTCTGCACATGATCACGCTTTTCTGTCAATTTATTTTGCCATCTCTGCACAACTACGACGTAAAATTACCAAACGCCAAGGCCAAAACGCCAAATTTTACTGTATCTTTCTGAGCTGGGACGCGGTCCTCCCTCTTTAACTCCAGCTTAATTTCCCCTCTGAACGAGTTGGAATAATGGCAAAAGAGTTTGAAAGGAAGCAAAGTCAGGGTTTCAATGACGTTTTCACTGCTTCACCGTTGTCAAATCGTAAGGTCCCTATTTTAGATGTGCGTCTCATAGAGGTATACTGTATTGTATATAATGTCAAATAATGTATTTTTTCATAACACTAGCAGAAGATAAAGATAAGTTTTATCTTAGAACAAAATTTGGTGATTACTTTTTGATTTGTATTCTGTAAAAATCACTAGTGGTTTGGTCGTCTTGTGCCTTTAGTGCAAAGTGTGTTTAGATGCCACTTTTGCTGCAATCCCTGGCGCTCATTTGCACCACCTCCCCTCCCCTCCCCCCAGAATATCCGGTTGAATATATCCTTGAAGTCGAATCAGGGGTCAATTTAATAAAACTTTTACACTTGTAATTTAAAGTGTAGCTGTTGTTTAAGAGTAAGAAAACCATATATATCTACAATTGTAAATTACACTTGTAAAAGGTTTATTATTAACCCCAGTATCGATTCTATCGATGAGAATGACGCCAAGAGGTCGCCGTAACCTCGGGACATTATATCGTTAGCTTTATATTACTTGTTTATGTATCTCAAAATTAGTATTTATAAGATACCGATATCGGTAGCTTTTTTTGAGACTACTAGTTTTTGCAGTGATACCCCACTGATATGATTCAAAGAGGAAGAATTACAGGACACCAGGGGGAGGGGTGTGGGAACCAGCCCTCTCTCCTCCCGTCATGCCTGGGACGATCTGATAATGAAGAGACTATGGGATTTGGCGGTGCTAGGGATCTGTTACGTCATTCAACTTCATCTTACTTGTTTCAGATGTAGATTCACACCCAGTCGCAGTTCGTGTTTTGAAATAACCTCCGTGGTTTTCATATTTTTCTTCGCCCTCCCCTCCCCTTTCTGTACATGCTCCAGTCAGACCCTTCATTGTTAGCTGCAGTTGCGTGTGACGTTCAGTCCATTCAAACTCATTTAACGCCACACGTTAGCAGTTACTTCAGCTCAAACTCTTCATTTTCACTCTAGCCTAAACGTTAGCAGTTTCGTCTGACATTGGGTTTTAATTGCAGCAGGAGCCTGATGTTTTTGAAGTTTGCCCCCGCAATAAAATCAGAAAACGCGGGAAATACGTTTTACGATCAGTTTTATTGCTGCACTTTTACAATGTTTAAAAATCATTTAACTTTAAATTTTGCTTTCTCATTGAAAAAAACTTATGGGAATACTGCAATTCTCGGTTTTCACACGACGTCACCAAAATTCAAACTAAGGCATTATCGATCATTGTGGATATTTTGTTTGATGAGGCTTTACAGCAGCTAAACACCTTTGTGTACAGTTATTTCGATAAAGGTTGTCAGAAGAAATGCGCACGCAACAATCCCGCAAGATTATTTGGGATATTGTCAATACACTGTTCCTGGCAGTGTAGCTGTGAAACATTCTTTTGTTGCTTTCCTTTAGCACTCGCAAACACGTCCATGGCCCCTCGTGCCATTCTTAAAAGTTTCTTTGAAGAACAGTGAACTCAATACCACCTACAATACCTTTCGGGATTGCCGCGTGCACTTTTCCGACAACCTTTCTCGAAATAGCTGTATAAAAATGATCGCCGGTTCGAAAGGGCTCTTCGTTTTTCGATAAAGGGACGCTTGAATTTCCAACTTTATGAGTTCCTCAAGCGATGAATGAGTCGGTTGGTTTCCGTTGGCCACATTTGTGCCCCTCAAAGGGACACCAACATGGCGTCTCCATACAGAGCTTTTTAAATTTGGGCAAAACATCTTTCCGAATATCTCTCGCAAATGAAGTACCGCTCAGACCTGATTTTTGGCGAGGTGTTTTGTATATTGATCTTCTTTCCTAGATTCTTGACTTTCTTTAAAGGGTTTCGATTTTTATTTTTGATGGCGTGACAATGAAAACAGAGAATTGACAGACGAAACGAGCACAGTTCAATAGTCAAACTTGAGTCAAATGAGAAAGATGGTATAGCAAAATTCCCTTTAATCCCTTACATTTTTTAAAACCTTTAAAAAAGTACCAATTGAATCTCTCATGTCACACAAAGAGAGCATAGACATCAGCGCACACTTTTCCTCCGTTATCTCCGTTTTGCTTGACCAAGTTTTCACCGTACCACACGCGTAATTCTTGGTTCGGATGGACCCATTTGGGAGACGTAAAGAAGTGCAGAACAAGCTCTGGTGAGAGGGAATTATATCCGGGAACCTTGTACCACTTTAAGCTGGTAATCTTAGTATTAAGGAACTGACTTGGCGGGAGTAGAATGTGGTTGTTTGAATCTGTGATGACAACATTGACTTGAGTGTTTAACCCGTTCCACGGATTGTCACCACAGCCCCAGTAGGACCAGAAAGTTGGACCTGCAGTGTTACAAGACACGTATCCGTACAGATGAACCAGCTTTACGGAAGCTAATCTTCCCCCCGGAACGTAAAATCTTCCAAACTGGCTGCCTTTTGCTTCAAAACATACTGCCCATTTATTTACTTTGCGCCAGCCAACTGAAAGAACAATTGATTTTTAATTTGAAATTAAATTCAATTATCCTCTTGGAATTTTTTTGAGACTTCTCGATAAAATAAGCACAACAGTTTCTATATTTGTTTAAAAACGCTTAGAACCCCCTCTTTAAGCAGAAGGTAATCAAAGTATACCTTTTTACACCCCCCAGGTCAATAATTGAAACATTTTTGTACATACAGTATACGATATACAAACAAGGAAATTGTGTAGCATTCACTGCCTTACCCAAGGTAAATTGGAGTAGAGAAAGCGGGCTGCAACTTTGGAGGGTTGCAGTAAGGTACAAGCGCAGGATTGCGAGTTTTCTAGCTGCTTTAACATGTAAGGCTTGAGTTTATGATAATTATAAGGAGAAGCAATTAGTTAAAGAATCTAGATATTAAATTCCCACAGCGGAAGCTTAAAGAAAACAATTGAGAGTAAAAATCAGCGATATTGTAATGTGTAATGAAGTTTTGATGTCCTCATGTCATTATTGACTTCAAATTCAAAAGTAGTTGCACTTGTAAAATAAACCTAGTGAATTAATATGCAAAATGCCACTTATATAAACAATAAAATGAAATATAATAGAAATGCTCGTTAAAATCATTTTAAAACGAATTATCAAGTCAAAACCTATAACTGAGGTGTCAAGAAAATATTACATAAGAAAATCTTCGTTTAAGGCAAAGAGCTTCAAACTGATGGAATCGGCTTGGGTAAGAGAGAATGATCTAAGGGAGCGAATCCCCCATACATGACCCTCTTCCCATGAAAATTATTTTCAATCTATTCTTGGTTCTGTGTCATACTGCGTGGTTATTTTAAGGACGCCACCTTATTGGTCGGTTAGAGTGGCGTCATGTAATTTTAAACTTGGCGGGTAATTCGTTTCACTGCCGATCACGCGCAGCAAGCGATATGCCGTGCAAACTTGGTATTACTTTCGTCGACGAATCAAAAGATTTATACGTGGAATAATCTGGCCGGAGTAGCTGACGAAAAGCAAACGGTCCTGGCCTGTGGGAGTTCGCAGGAGAAAGCGGTTCCCACTAGGCGAAAACTGCTTATTGAACGACAACTGTCTCTTCCGGCGCCATCCACACACACCCGCGAGCTGTGTTACCGTCGTTTGGATCCAACCATGGACACGTAACGAGAAAATAGGTTCAAAGTGGGTTCAAACATGAATGTTTGGCCGCCAAACATTTGAGTTTTGTGAGGGCGCTAGACAAATGTGGGCACACCGCTCACTATAAAGAATTGACCGAAGCCGGAAACCGCGCATCAAAACGCTCTGGCATCCAGGTTAGCGACTGTTTAACAGCTTGAAGCATCTAACCTGAGTTGTGTTTGCACAGCGAAATATTCAAACGCAAGTATTAGACATTAAGAAGTTTGAAACTCTCAAGAATAATTGTTAAAAGCAAATGTACTGTTTCTGAACGAAAAATATTCTTGGAAAAAGAGAAAATACATCTTGCACATTTGCATAAACAATTAAAGCCAGCCACTTATTAAAAGTTTCGTGTTTCGCGCGTGATAACCTTTGCCTTTGGCTTTCACATTGTGTCAGAATTCAATATTCATTACTTTAAATGAGGCTACCAATAAAAAATCTCAATCTTTAATCTCAAAGTGAAATTTTGACTCCAATACTGCAATCCCTTTGTAAATAAAATTCATTCCTAAATTATGCGCGGAAGGCGCTGATCAAAAACATTTCAACAACAGGAGCCGATTAGTATCTGCTCCTGGCGCTAATTACTATAATGGTTGTCAAACTTCAAATGTTTGGCGGCGAAACATGTCACGTTCACGTGAAAATAGACCGCGCGGTACATGGAAACAACAGACAAAAATAACCTTCGCAGCACGCGCGCGAACTTTAAATAGATTTAAAAAAATTATCATGGCTTGGGTTGGGTGTTTTTAAGCGTAGATTGCGCGGTTAATAAGAGGCTCGTTCAAACCTTCCTTGGGACTTTACCAAGAATGTGAAAAGACTTTCTCTTGAGTTTCGTACCTTATTGGTACCAAACTTAGCGATTTTGACGAGAGTATTTCAGGGGGTTATATTTTCGTGCTTTCAACAGGCAAATTTGAAAAAGACGCATTAAATTTCGCGATTTAAGCGTTTTCAACCTCATTCTATTTTTCAAATTGCCTGAACTTTTTACAGTTTCTAGACATGCTGGAACAACCAATGTGTAAAATCTTTGCAAATAGACCTTGTCACAGTTTTTTTCGATGCCATCTTGACGAGTAGGCAAACGCGTGAGAAATAACTATAAAGTGTTTGCATTAGAATCTAATGTCGAATAATTTCCGTAGAACGGCTGTTCTGAAAAAATATCAATTGTAAATTAAAGCATCACTCCAAAGGATTTTACTGAAGGAATTGAGGGTGTTACATGCTCTAGAATACCTAGAACCATTTTTTAAGATTTCCTATTCTTCGTTTTCACTCTCACGCAATAAAAACGGCACAAAAAAATAAATTGGAAACCGTCCAGTGGAAGAAGCCAAGAAAATGAAATGTTATAAAAAAACTAATATGTAAACAACTTGCCCAAATCTCAGCTCTTTGTGGTCCACAGTTTCTGAGTTATTTGCCGAAACCGTTTTCACGCACCTTTGTGGAGCATTGTATGGAGACGCCATATTGGTGGACAGACGTGACTGTCGACCAATATGGCCGCCGGAAATCAACAAAAACATCTGGAGTTCTTTTTTTCTATAAAAGCTCTTCCTTTTCACTCGAGAGCTAGCATACGTGCGCATAAACACATCTTTTAATACTTGAAATGGTTATAAACTGCTGAAAATCAAGAGAAGAGACTTTTTTCAATGAGACAGCATTCCTATTTTGGTGTCATGCAATGTGAAAACTGGGAAGTTCAAATTGTTGCATTTTAATAATTCGAAATGAAACATGCTTCGGGGCTGGAAACTTGTACAAAGATTTATTTTCTATTTCTATTCAACCTAGTGTCAATAAAAATTCGTAAAACCGCGCCTTTTTGACTTTGCAATCTGATGACGTCACTGTGAAAACCATCGATACATTTGTCTGCAAGAAAGTCCCGGGAAAAATTTCAGAAAAACATATGGAAAACCTAAAGCAAGCCTCTGGAGAAATTTAAGCACAGATACGCCTCCAAAACGTTTTAGTGCAATCCTTTGCTTTGTAGCGTTAGTTTACGATTGATATTTTTTTCAGAATAGCCGTTTTGTGGAATTATTCGACAGTAGATTCTCATACAAACACTGTAATTTCTCACACGTTTGCCTACTCGTCAAGATGGCGTCGAAAATCATGACAAGGTCTATTAACGTTATTTCACCACCGAAGATAGAAAATGGACCGACCAGTAAAACTAGTTAACAATTGTGTATTTGTCAATACGGCCTGTATATGTTGTTGCTATGTTAATATTTTTTTCTGTGATTTGAATTTTCTTTATGGGTATTACCTATACAAATTAAGCGTGTTAAAATTTCGCGACGATTTTAATTGGGGGTCTTTAATTTCGCCATTTCTTTTTTCAATCGCCAAAAACGCGGAAATACTTTTACTTTGAAAGACCTGCGAAATAAAGGACCAATAAGGTAGTTAATTTCAGTTACGATACACTGTAATCATATATCTCAGAGAAAAGCTAGAGATCTGATTTATAGTCTGAGAAAACCGAGACTTGCCCAAAACTCGAGCTGTGGGACTATGTGAAAGCCGAGCGCGACGGCCGAGGGAGTTCTACAAAAAAATGAGAGCCAAGCGAGGGAATGAGTGTGACGAAACTAGAAAGAAGATCACCGAAACGATCAAAGGACTTTGAGTGCGGTGATGAATCAACAAACCTGAGGCGATTTCTCTCTTCAGCCTGTTCAGCGAATCAGAACGGTAATTTACCGAGGGATCATTCTGCTTTGACTCCAGCCCTTGGGTGTCTTCTTGCCGGGGAATACTCTCCGCCAACAGCGTTAACGAGCCGAGAGAAAAAACGAAAGCAAAAACCAAAATCAACTTCATTGCTGGGTAGACAACTTGAATAACGTACTCAGTGCTGTTCGGTGTTGTGTGGTTTATTGAACTTCCTTGCACAGAGTTTCTGTTCGTGTTAAAACAAGATCGGCTCACATTGACCTTGGCATGCAGTAGATCCATCGTACGCCCTGATTGGTTTTGAGCACTGAGTGATTATATTTAACATCCGTAATCGGAGAGGCTGTCGATAAATCCGGAACAAGCGCTTCTTTCTCATCCTGTTTGTTGTTATGTCACTTAATAAAATTAAATTTCAACTGCGGCGACAGCTGCACAGAATAATGAAGTTATTGCAAAACAAACAAAAAAGAAATGAATATTTTAACACTGAGCATAAACAAGGTTGAGAAATACTATTTAAGGAGCCCAGTAAGAGCCACCTAATTTCTCTCATCAAGTTTCTTTTACACCACCTCAGTCTTTTTACGGTCGACTCCAATTTACTTGTCACGACTTTTTTGGGCACGAATTTTCCCGGGACGACATTTTTGGCACGACTTCTCCGACACGACTTTCTCCGGCACGACTTTTTTGGCACGACTTTCTCCGCCATGAGTTTTTGAAGCATTTGTTTTATCAGATACATTTATTCCCAATTCGTATTACAATTCTCGTCGCCAGTCCAAGATGGCCGTCTTTGTCATTATATTTCTCATTATTCTACTTACCGTAAATGATCGATTAAGCGCCGCGATGCTTATTTAATTTTCCCTGTCCCTGTGACGAATATAGAGAGACTTTAGTGAGGCGCGTACAGTGTACAATGTGTGTACAATGTAATATATGATATATAGACCTCGAACTGTTATATAAATAAAACCCGGTTTCAAGAGGTTCCCTACCTACATTAACACTTTACAACTCACGAGTTGGTAGAGGTCTGATTTCTCAATTGATATGGTTTTGAAATCTCTTTATACATTAGCTCCTGTTCATATCAAGCGCCGTAACAAGGGTTAGGCGTTAATTTGTAAATACCCAAGTTAGCACCGCGGCGCTTATTCGAAAGCGGCACTTATTCGAGTAGCGGCGTTTAATCGATCATTTACGGTACTCTTAAATCGACCACTAGTGAGGGTGTTAGGCTTTCAAACCATATTCCTACATTGCAGCTGAATCCTGGTGGAGGTACCGTAAATGCCCTAGTAAACACCCACTTCCAAAAAAAACGTCTCTCATCTAATATTAAACCCCCCTTCGACCCGGCTAAAATTGTATTAGACGCCCCTCTGATAAACGCCCCCTGTCTAATAGACGCCTCCTATCTGAATTACTCCAAAATACTAGGAACAAGACACTCTTAAAGGTTGCTTGGAGGTTAGATAAGAAATGAGGATGAGATAAATTCTTAAGGAGCCAGTGTGCAGCATAAGTTACACAGTAACTACTGACTGCCTTATAGTACATACAATAATCAGACTAAACTTAAACTGGAAAAAGATTTATAGTTCCTTCGTTACAATTTATAAATCTAAAGTGAAAATTACCGATGATGCCTAGGCAATATTAAATGCTGTAATTTCAAGCAATCTGCCACAATCAAAGGCAGCACTGCGAGGCAAAGATCAAGTCAAATCAATGACATCAAGGAAACATCAATGAAGACGTCAGTATGAAAAATAAATTCGCATTTCCCATACTAGAGAACTTCGAAAATAAATAGACTACTTTAATTTGTAGACTAGTAGTTTCCATTGGCCAATGAAGTGCGGCAGGTAGAGTGCGTGACAGTCAAGTACCAACCACATCCTTCACACATGCGTAACGTTAGACCAGTCGTTGAAGTTGCTTCTAGTAGTTGAAGGTTAAAAATCATTCATAACTCAAGTATTTATAAAGTGCAACGCGACTTCACATCTTCTAAAACAACGGCGAAAATCTACCAATTAAATAGATTACATACTTGTAAAAATTGCAAATTAGGGGAGTGCGTTAATGAGTGGTAGTGGGAGGGGGGTGTAAAACCTGATGGGCTTGTAATATTGAGAAATCAAAATCAAACAATGTTTATTATATAAATTTAGCCAGGGCTAAAAGCGAAGCTCCCATTAATAAAGTCATAATTTAAATAAAACAATAAACTTGTAATCCAGAGATCGGGGCACATTCATGTGACTTTTGAGGCAAAGACTGAGTGATTTTAGAGAAAAATAATTTGACAGTCCAAGAGTGAAACAATTTTACATCGAGTTAATAGTCTTATTTGTACACCCAAAAATAGCAATCATGTTCGATCACAGTAGATTAGGCCTAGAAAACAAATAGACCTATTCGTTAATTGTATTTGCATTAGCTGTTGCATCATAATGTGGCATTCACCAGTCTCTTTAACTTCTTTCGATACAGTGATTTTATAATGTTTCTGGGCCATTCCTCGAAATAAAATCGGCAAACATGCACAAGAAAACATTTTCCTAATCAAAATACCAAAATCCTTCGTGTTTGCGCAAGATGCGCCTTATGGTATGAAAGCGTTCGTTTAATGGAAACGTCGATTTGTCAACGACTTGTCAATGTCGGCAACTTAAACTAAATCCGTTGTCAACGGAAATTGTCTTATGTGTATTGTCTAGTGACCAATCAATCTAATGTTTATTGTCTAATGACCAATCAAACGCCTGCGTTGCTGGTACAACGCGCTCCGTCAACGCGAGCTGCAGTGATGTTATTACAGTCCCTCTATTTTTATCGACCCCCCCCTTACCCCGAGCTATAATCCCCGACGCCCACCCTCTCGGTACATTTGAAAATCAAGAAAGCCGTGACGGTAAGACGCGGTATATCTAAACGATCTCATGAAAAAATAGGGGACTGTGAACAGTCTCTGTTCCAAAATCGCTTGAGACTTTTCAACCCTCTTACGCCTTAAGCAAGGGCAAGTGAGTAAGCTCATTTCTGAAAATGATGCCATCCGAAATCGGATTTCCAATGACTTTGACAAGCGGTGCATTTGTCAACGAAAAGCGCAATAAACAAACCAGCCATGAAGTACAGAACAGTCTTAATAGCAGCTGTATTTCATTTTGTACATCAAGTAGAAAAAGACGGTTTAAAACATCACAAGATGACACAAAACTCTGTCAGCTTCAGCTATCAGTAAGCAAGTTTCCAGACGCTGCATAAATTTCCGCATGGACTCACCTGTCAAATTTTGACCAATCAGAACATAAAAATTGGACGTAGAGCGTGATCAACGCGTGACAGTAAGAAAAGTCAAGAGCGGTGCCTTCCCTGCATTAAAAGCCGGTTGAATTTTCGCGTCCGAGGTCAGTTCGAAATCAAAATTTTCAAAGTGCGGCTCATGGGCAAGACTTATTTCATATGCATTTAAAAAAACACTGAACTTGAGACCGCGATCATTTGAAAAGTAGCAACTTGTCAGCGGATAACTTCAAAAAACCACTCGAACTCAGTAGGTCGATATCTGAGCCCGCGATACGGTCAGGCCATACTAGTCAGCAAAAACACTATTTTGACAGCTGTCAATTAATCAAAACATAGATGTACAATATCAGGTTACAGGCTCCCAAACTACAATGGAGGACAAAAGAACTTGGGACTGTGTGAAAAAGCCCTTCCAAGCAATTGTTACGTAGAACCCTGCTCCTAAGGACAATTTTTTTGTTCGGCTTTGGGTTCATCCCGTCGTTCCCCCACTCCCCCTAGCAATGTTGTGGCCAAAAAAGCACTCATTCTCACCCATTTTGCTCCAAATTCAACTTTGTTTGGGGTGGGAGGGGAGGGGTCGCTAGTTTTAGTAATATCACTGGAGAGGTCCCAACACTTTTGACCTCCATTGTCTGAAAACCACTTTGTTTACAAAATTAGACGTTGCTTTGTGAGCTGTTGCACAATGAATACCTTAATGCTGGAATTGATCTTTTGACGACGGTATGATATATTTTTTCAGACCAGAACAGCTATTCTTTTGCTCTAAGAGTGCTGGAAATAATCACGACATTAGCCGTAACATCATTAATAGAGCACTTTTCTGTTATATGTTTGCAAAGTTTCTTCTTTGTCTTTGTAAAAAGCAATGTAGCGTCAGTAACACTTTGGGCTACAGTTCCAGACATGCCAAATGGTAGATATTTTATAGTATCTTGAACGTTGATGCCAAAAGAAGACAGTGTAACGGAATCTCGAGGTTGCGTTACACTGAGTAGTTGAGCGCCTGTTAACATGTCTCGCATTCAGTTCTCGGCTATTTATGTGAATATATATGTCCTTGGAAATCTGATTTATCATCAAACTGTATCGAAACAGTGATAAAATGTTTGTTTGCGATGAATTATTGCTATTTCCCTGCATAAAACAGAAGCGTTGAGTGATTTACGACAGTTCTCGCCCTGTTATAGTATAAAAATAATGTTTGAAATTTTGTCTATTATTTAGTTAGGGGCGAGAACTGTTAAAAGTAGCCTATTATGCTTAAGACTTTCCAGTACAAGCACGTTTTTCTCTCAGACTAGATGAGATACAATATGTGAAAGCACATAATTTGCTTATCACTGTTTCAAACGCAGGAAAATAGACTTTTTACAGGTGAGAACTGTAGGGTGAGAACTGTGAGAACTGTGGAGTAACGTAAAGTATAGAATAGGTCACGCATAGTAATTTCCGGCAATATCAGGGCAGATATGTTGGGAGCAGTCAACAGAATAATGTTAGGGAAGCAGAAGTCACAGGGAATTATGCTCACCGTTCAATTTGGCTGTTTGATCGCTCAAGTGTAAGACAATCTTCTGAAATTTGTTCATGTCTCCGCGTTCACACGTTGACGCAGAACCTACAGGGCGCACGCTAAGTATATCTGGGCCGGGCCTTACAGAATGTTACAGGTGTAGTTTGTAGGGTATAAAAAAAGGTCGTATTCTGGCTTGGCTAAGAAATGCCTTTTGCGTCTTCCAAGTACATCTTCTCAGATAGTAAATATAGGTACTACCAGCATTAAATGCCTTTAAGAGCTCAATCCAAAACACGTCGTTCAAATAATCACTTAGTTCCTTTTGGGTAAACTGAATGTCCACGGCGAATACCCCCGTTTGGCAAGGTATCCGTAACTCTTTGGCGTGACAGACGGATCAGCTGCAGCGTATAGAAAGCATTTTACTAAAAAG